AACATTTATTTAATCCGAATCAGCAACACTCTTTATTTCATCGATTCCTTTATCCAGTAAACATGCAGAAATATACTCTCCTCGCTGCGCTTATTAAACTTAAAATATGCCGGTTCGAAAGCGCTGTACAAAGCGAGATGTGAACTTCCGAGTATCGCTGCTGTTTGGTCGGCGGTAGAGCCATCGTGTTACCATTATATTTCTCTTCAATAGCCGAGCTCTGAACTCCGTGCCAATTATTTCTTCCAAACAAATACGAAAGCTGACACACGACATTGAATTTGTTTTTGCCGGTCACAGACATGTGTCAAGTAGTTTTACTCTAGCAATAACGACTTCCCACTCAGGATTCACAAATTCTTACAAAAGTTTTTGCAAAGGTAGCGCACATTATGACATTGTAATGTACGATAGTTTCGTTGGAGTAACAATGTATTGAAACAGATGCTTTTACAATATACTTAGATATAATATTGGTACAAATATTATTTTGCAAACGACATAATACTCAATACTCGATTATTTATTGGTTCCATGATTTTACAAACTATAGAACATTATAGTTACATTGTTACGAAGTTTACTAAACAACTTCATAAACAGCTGGTTATTCTTGATACTACGATGTAACTTATTTAAATTATATTTCAATAGAACTCTATCGTAGTTTAATAACAATATTACCAGTTAAAATGGCACAGCCTATACAGTTGGAATTCCAATAAACTTTATGTCATTGTACACTTACTTGGAAGCATACGCTTTGTTGTTGTTCGCTGACGTGGTATCGGTTCAGTGAAGCCGTGTGGTGACGGCAGAGTAGAATACATTTGTCACCAATCCCTACTCTTCCCGCGGGTGTCGTAAGAGGCGACTTAGGGACTACACATCAAACAGAGAATGGGCAGCAGCGCTCTCTGAAAAACATCAATCTTTTAAACTGCGATCTCCAACCCGCCTGCCAGCGATAATAGTCCAGCAGTGGACTGTAAAGGGCTGTTGATGATGATGATGAAGTCGTTATTATCAGTAATAAGTTACAGTCGAGTTTTTACTGCGATTCAGCTCAGAAAGTTATTTGATTCTCTTAGGTCACTACTTAACTATTAACTATTACTAGTAAACTTTTGTGGTTATGTGGAGCATTTTAAGTACATAAAGTGAACTAAATTTTAACTCTTTTGAGTCTTTTTTATAAGTTTTTACTGAGATTCAAATATGTTAGATACAAACTGATACTTTTCTAAAAGTCATCAGATCATAATTTAAATATTTTGCTTGCTTTTGCTCCGTTTTCGCGATATTGCGTTAATATTAATAAAATATTAATACAATTATGTGTGATACACTATCATTTTGGGACGTTTCAGGTGGAATCTACGTTATATTCGGAGTTCATTAAAGTTCCATTAAGTACCTACTTTTATTCTATACACAGATATTGTTGAGCTTTAACCTATTAAAGTTTAATGCGGCGAGTTAGCACAAAAGGTGGTAGTTCGGAACTGCATCGCCGGCAGAATGGAGCTGATATCGCCTATTATAATGGGACCATAGACGGGACGTGATAACTCGCTGTAGCGATACAAACGAGGTATTGCTAGTACTAGGGTTGCTATTAATTTATCAAAAACACTAAACTTACACTTGCTATTTTGATCTACCTAATACGTAAACTTTAATCGCTTACGTCTTTTGACGTTCGCATGTGACCGCGTAACAAATTTATTTTATAGACACTGTAGGTCTCGATTTGCGGAGACACCAAATCATTACAAAATAGCAAACTCATTTTTTAACAAAGATTTGAGACTTTTTATCTCTATATTTGGGAAAACTGCCTCATAGATTGAAATGTTCCGGTAACGTTGTGATCAAGGGCGTGTTCATTACATAAAAAAAATGGGAATGATGCTAATCATCATCTGGGCTAATCATGCCGAAAATATTTTACAGCATACAGTAGGTACAGAGTAAATACAAATGAGTAGGTCATCTTCATAGAAACGCACCGAGCGCGGTTTGTATGTGAGCGCGCCAATACGTATGCGGCGCGCACGCATCACACTGACAAAATTTAGCGTGGATTAGCGGGGTGTTGCGCCGAATTTACTCTGGTAGGTATAATAAACTTCTGCTAAAATAAAAATAATACAGCTTAGTTATTTTGGAATACATCAGGTACTCTGATTAGATTTTGAAAACCACGCCTGACTCTTATATCTAGGATAAATCTAGGACAAACCTGGAAAACCCGGGTCGATGGCAACCCTAGCCGGTATCGAGACCCTATTATACTGTCACCTGCGGGAGTGCATCAATGTTTGTTGGTATAAATTGCCTACTTTAGCCAAGGTTTTGGTTATAATGACCTTGTACACTCAGGTTTATTGTAATTTTAGAGACGTACAATTTCAAAGTTATAATAAGTATTATAGTCTAGAATGTTTTAAATGTTAGGAATATTTTTCACAGAGATTTCAAAAATTCAGTGGAAAAATACCGTGAATGTTCTGGATTTTAGAAGTGTTTCCGAAAAAGAAACATATTATGTGTGTTGTTAAAATGAAATGTAATATTTTGACTGCGAATGTTATTTCGCAATACGAATAATTACGTTTACGTAATTACGAGTAATTTTACCTGAACACCGCTACCACATCATTTATTTTGTGAAATCCAGATACATATCACAACTACAAAAATGTCTTAGCATTTAGCTCAATATGCCGCTGTCGTTACGTTACAGCTGTAAACATAATGTTGTAAAGCAATATGTACTAATTGTAGTACGTAGGTACTAACTGGTTCCGACAATACCTAGTAATTGTCAAAGGGAAGTCACGCTATAAGCACGAGGCACGAACTATGGCGCTTCGCAAAATTACCAGCTGCATATATCAACGCTTAATTAACAAGTTAGTTAGTAGATAATTCGCTCATGTGACAGTAATTTTAGCTACATAACTAAGTAGATGTGTCTGGTGATTACATTGTAGACGGTGGTATTGTATTTGTATATGAGACTAGTTTCTGCCAGCGAATTCGTACGCGTGAAAATGGTTTGAATAATATTTCCCGTTTTTCTTTACTGCTTCGCCCCTATTGGCTGCATGGTGATGTTAATAGCCTTCCTCGATAAATGCGCTATCCAACACAATTTTTTTTTAAATCGGAGATAATTCCTGAGATTAGCACGTTCAAGCGCAACAAACAAACAAACGTTTCAGCTTTATAATAATAAGCAAAATGTAATGGCTGTGTTGTAGCTAACATATCTTTATTAGTACAAAAGCAAATGTCCTAACCCACCAGGATAAAAATAAAAACGCCTTAAGTCATAAATATATTTATTTTAAGCTTTTTATGATAAAGCTTCACTTTTTTCGAGGTTAAACCCAGCTTACATCGTGGTCGTTGAGTGGACAGGATAAACGTGCTAATCCATGAGCAGGATTTGGCTTAAAACTAAACGACGGTTATTTTTATCTTTTTATAAAAAACACTTTTTAAAAATAACCCTCCTTCTGGCGCAGTCCGGTAAAAACTAGGCATCATCCGTGAAAATAAGGGATTTAGTTTTCCACGAAAAAATCTAAATTAGTGTTAGATCGCGTACATACAGCTTTACGCTTATTCCGTAATGAACAGTGATCCAGTTTTACGTGGAACATCGGGTTTTCATGAAAACACGCCGACACATTTTCGATCCTCAATAACTAACTAGTTTAGAAATGTAAGTATGTAAGTAATATTTTAAATAAAGTTGCCCATTATTAAAAAAAGTTTAGAAAGAATTTGTGACCTAGCAAAGTTATTACGATTTCAAATCGCAGTACTTACAATGTTACTTGGTCTATCTGTAGGAACTGTTCCTATAGGTATAAGTATAAAGCGGCAGTTCGGACATCTACCAACCAATTCTAATTAAGTATATTTCCCTTGAAGATTAAAATATTGCCTAAAGCATCCACCGTTTCGAATTAAACTCCGAAACAGTACGAAGAACTCCGCAAATACTAAAATGTGGTTATAAAACAACTCTGCGGGACTAAAAGTAATTCCCAACAAGTACCAACCCTACTTTGCATTAAGGAAACGAGTCCCATTTCAAAGTAAACGATCATTTATTCCCGAGACAGTAGAAATGCTTTATAAAAGCGAGATTTTCGACTTTGTGACAACGAAATATGACAATATCACATAAAATGACGTTCTATTGTGACGTGGGTCTCATAATGCTATTGACTTGTATGCAAATTGGGGAAGATATGACCCTCTATATAAATTCCATCTTCGAGGGTCGATTTTGAGGGAAATTTGTGACGGGGAAGTAATGATGGTAGATAGTAAAATCTCAGATATCTTTTTACCCTTCGTCATTGAAGAGCCTGAAATATTTGAGATAAATGGTCCACGGTATAGTGTTTCTGGTAAAGGAAAACGTTTTGACGTTGAAGAAGAATTTTCATTAAGTTTGTTGAACTTTCTGAAGGGTTCGTTTCACCGGGCCACTTCCTATTTAAGTACCGAAGCCTCAGCATCCTTTATTTTTAGATAGAAACATTTTTAACTTGAAACAGGCCCTTATAGTTATTTTTAGGATAGCGTTTTGTCTAGGAAATTTTCTTCCTGCATTATTATGCTAGTCGCTGTAGAATGACACTGTGGCGTGCTAATGAGAATGGCTAGTGACCGCGAGTGGCAATTGTTTTGAAGTAGCTCTAAGAATGTTTCTTCTGCAATTAGGACTTAATTGTTAAGTGCTTGTTAACCATTTTGCCAGCAAGTAAGAAACATTTCGTTTGATCCAAAACTTTACACAATAAAATGTCTTTAAATAAAGATCAAAAACAGTTCTTAATTACTGATAAATAAAATCGTTTCTCAGCAGTTAACTACAGCATAAAAATGACGTGAACAATAAAAATAAGTGAAGTGTTAAAAAGAGTTAAAATCCGAAAAACTCAAACAATGAAAGTGCATCTTCCAAAGTAACAATGATGAATGGTACAGGCGAGCGAGGCGCGCTGTCACTTACGTCATCGCCAGTCAAGGCTTCCAGCTCTCCAGTTAGGGCGTCCCCTAGCCCAGTGAGGGCGCCATCTTCGCCTCTAAAGTCGTCCTTATCGACTGGGAAGAGGTCACCACGTAGATGCCAGTTCGCGGCGCCAGCTGAGGATGCGAGAGACAAATGTGGGGCGTCCTGGTTATGTCGACGAGGGGCGGGGCTTGGAGAGGACTCAGATCCTGAGAGGTCTCCAGGCCCTAGCGCCCCGGTGCCACAGGCTTGTGAAGAGTCCGCTCCGCCCCCGAAGAACTGCTTCAGACTTGTCATGCTGGGGTAAGTGCTCGTCTCCTTCAAACATTTTATATCTTTGTCCAGGTTTCACAATTATGAGCTAAGCCAAATTATGGTAAATACATGGAAAGTTCAACCACATTTTTAGTAATTTTGGACATTGAGTGCTATATTTTGAATCTTTTTTATTCTTCTTATATTTTTTTTTATTATTAAGTCCGTTGCTTGTTCTGAAGCCAAGCTGTCAATCCTGGCTGTACCTACCTATGTATACGTACAAGTTGCAGTGGCGGAAGGATGAGAAGTGGTAGTTATAACAAATTACAGTTCTTTGCTAAAGAAATATTCTGTCGATATCACAATAGATCTAACTTGTGCCCGCTAGTTTGCACGAAAATGTTGTTCAAACATTTTTGAAAGAAAGAAAGAAAGAAAAAACATTTATTTGGTACCAAAAATTTTACCATTACCATTTTTTTTTATATAGGTATTCACTAGCAGTGCCCGCGACTTCGTCCGCGTGGAATAATGACTTTGGGTAGGCACTTTTAATAATTTAGTCTAATTATTTTACAAATAAAATAGCTTTTGCCCGCGACTTTGTCCGCGTAGAAGTCGAAAACGATACCTAATTGCTAACTGAATGACTGAAACATTAGCAACTAATGTTGCACTCAAAATAATGTAATAACTTCAGTTGTTTCAATAATCCGAACGTTTCATTATCCGATCGCATTTCCAAAAGCCAATCCTATTGGCGCTAAGTGCGCAAATGCAAACATATCCGGCTCAGACCGCAGCATCACGGCCATAAATCAACATCGGCGACAATCCGCTCCGAACACAATGGCACATTCTGCCGGTGGTTTGGCACGATTAGATTAATTATAAACGAATAGGTAGATGAACTAGCATACAGCTCGTAGAGACGATGGCCGTTGGGGCAGGAAAGTTCTCGATTGGCGACCACGGGCTGGAAGACGTAGCGTGGGCAGGCCTCCTACCAGGTGGACCGACGATCTGGTAAAGGTCGCGGGAAGAGCCTGGATGCGGGCAGCGCAGGACCGTTCATTGTGGAAAACCTTGGGGGAGGCCTTTGTCCAGCAGTGGACGTCATTTGGCTGAAACGAAGGTAGATGAACTAGACAAACATATTCATTGAAATAACATTTCCAGGCGTTAAAAGTTGCATCTCAACATTACATTATGAATAACTTGAAGAGATCTAACTACCTAAGCATTCTGTGGCCTAAGTTGTAAATCGAATTCAGTCTAATGTCTAAGGCCGCTTTCACATTAGGGCGTGATAAGGCATCCGCACTTACACACATCACACACATAGTATGAAACTATCGGTAGCGCGTCTGTTGCGCGTTTGTCGAGCTGCTAAGCAGGCGCGCAGTCGCCTGGCAAGCGAAAAGTCGCGACTTCAGCTCCCAACTTAGGCTGGTCGATTTTTTCAAGCTGATAATATTAATTAATGTTTAAAATGTAAACGTTTTGCACTACCTTGAAGAATAGAGCAGTAAAGAATTGAAACTATACCGCCGACATGCGTGTTAGTGACTTGACTTTTTGACGGTCGCTGAAACTCGTGAGCGATCTTTTTCACTGTGGGTCTAATGATCCACGGTGAAAACGATCTGCGTGAGTGATTGCAGATTTGCAGAGTACTGCAATCACTAAATAAACATTACTTTCAATGTGTTATTTTGTACCTACTTTAAGGCTGAGTTGCACCACCAAACTTTGACCGTAACTATGTATAACGATAACCGGTGATTTTTCTATGGAATTTGACAGATTTTTGACCTTTGTTACAGTCAAAGTAAGATGATGCAATCCAGCCTAAGTTTTTCGTTCTATAGTTTTAAATATAAATTCTTTCGGCCGTTTTAGCCAAATATCATCTACTGCTGGACAAAGACTTTCCTCAAGGTTTCCACGACTGGTTCTGCGCTGTCCGCATCCAGGTTAACAATATTACCTGGAATAAAAAGACTAGTGTTAGTTTTCACCGTCAATCCCTAATTTTTAAGTGACCCCTATGGTGACACAATTTTGTTTTCATAAGGGTCACTTAAAAATTAGGGATTGATGGTAAAAACGGGCGGAAATCAATAATTTACTGGCAGGTTTATAGCTGACGAAGATATCAGCCAGATTTGTCGTAATTAACGTAATGTAATTACAAGCTTTCCTACAGTTAATTGCTATCGTTGCAGGTCTCTAATTTGGCTCAATCTAAACGAAGCTATTATTATTAAAGCTAATATTGTTCCAGTTCGTCTGCTCGTGATTACATGACATTACAGTATACAGGGTGGGCAGGTGGGAGCGTTCTCACGGAGTGTGGATAATTTCCACAATCGATACGAGATCGTCTAATAGATCGTATCTGAAATTGTGATACTGAAAATGGTTTTTAATTTTGTAAAACATTAATCTAAAATAAAATAACTTTTAATGGATTTGGAACTGTAGTAGAGTAAGTAGGTAAACCAGATATTAATATCAGCATTTTGTTATGCCGTATAAAAAGATTGAAAGAAAGAAAAATATTTGGCCCAAAATATAAAATTATTACAGTTATACAGCTTGCACATGTTATGGACCAAAGTGGCATTCGCTCAGCATTGTATCCTGCTTTGAGGTTTTTGCTGAAAGTAACGTAGTCACCAACTAAAAATTGTTAATTCATTCTTAATTACCTAATTGTTCATACATTTTATACAAGAAACTTATGCCTGTATTCACAAACGATGCTTGCTCAAGTGACGCAGCAAATCGAACGCACAGCGTTATGTAGAGTTCTGTGATTGTTTCGTGTGTGACACTGCGTTCACGCGCACTGTGAGACCTCATAGTAATGTTTGTGAATACGGGCGTATAGACGTTTTTTAGGAGTCGTTCACATTTGCAATAGGCCAGTGGGAACGAGTGCTGTCACATCTGACCTTTTGTGGGTCGACTGATGTATAGCTCTGACAGATCTAGCGGTACCATTCCATTTGCAGTGTGTAGGCGCTGTGAAAATTCAAATTGATTCACTGTGGATAGCTTGATCGACGGGTCCCTGGAGTTAGATAGATTAACTGTCGCGATCAATACTGCTTGTAACGTATGGGACAATAGGTCTGACTGAAAAAGGAGGTGCGTATTCGTATTCTTCAACTGATGAACTATTTTACAAGTTAGTGTTTATAAGTTCTTTTAACAATCCCACTTTTCGTGTCAATCTACTGTCTTGAAACGCTCGAGTTAAGTTGCCCTATTTTCAGCATCTTGGATGTGAACATAATTATACAGTGTGAGTCACGTTAAAGTGTACATATGAAAATATGTGAAACTAGACCTATTTTTATCGACAAAAAAGAGGTCAAATTTTTTTTGAGATTTTTTTTTAATTTTTTATAGAATTTTATTTCTTCCAATTACTTCTCGTAAAGAAAACGTAATAACTTTTAAACTAAGAGGTATATCCTGATAAAATAAAAACAGTAATAATGCTAAATAACAGGCGATACTAAAAACATACATAAAATACCCAGAAAATGCCAACAAATAATAAAAAATGATACTTTTTGAAAAAAATCTGCTTAAAAATTCGTATTTTTTTGGTTATTTGATAAATTTCTCAAAAAAATGCCCGTATAATAGTTGGTTTTTATTACTTTGTATTATTCTCTATCGTATTATCTTTGTAAAACCAAAAATTACATGTCTCTTATCCCTATCACAACATTTGCTATGATCGTTTGAAATAAGCCTCTCCGGGCGCGCCATTCAACGCTTCGTTAACAACGAAACTGAAAATGGCTCTAGATTTGTAATTTTGATAAAGACAAGTTAGATCTATACTCTATACTAATATTATAAGCTGGAGTTGTGGAACATGACGCTNAAAAAATTATGTAATTGAATCATTCACTGTGTTTAAACGATCAAATAGTATTCAAACATTTAGATAATAACGTTAAAAACCATTTAAAAATCCTATGAGAACTTTTTCGACTTCTACACGGACGAAGTCGCGGGCAAAAGCTATTTGTAAAATCATCATCATCATTTCAGCCATAGGACGTCCACTGCTGAACATAGGCCTTTGTAAATTATTTAGACTAAATTATTAAAAGTGCCAAAGTCATTAGTCCACGCGGACGAAGTCGCGGGCACAGCTAGTTTCAAATAAAAATCAAAGATTTCGAAGTAAAATAAGCATTTTAGTTAAAATTAAAATTGTCTCTACCTGTAGCGGATAATAATGTTGTGGCAGGCCTTTGTTCAAACGATCATAGCAAATGTTGTGATAGGGATAGAGACATGCGATTTTTGGTTTTACGAAGGTAATACGATAGAGAATAATACAAAGTAATAAAAACCACCGGTTATGGGGGCATTTTTTGGAGAAATTTATCAAATAACCAAAAAAACACGAATTTAAAAGCAGATTTTTTTCAAAAAGTATCATTTATTATTATTTGTTGACCTTTTTTGTGTATTTTGTGTATTTTTTTAGTATCGCCTGTTAATAAGCATTATTACTGTTTTTATTTTATCAGGATATACCGCTTGGTTTAAAAGTTATTACGTTTTCTCTACAATAAGAAATAGAAGAAAAAAAATTCTATAAAAAATTAAAAAAAAATCTCAAAATTTTTTTTACCTATTTTTTGTCGATAAAAATAGGTCTAGTTTCATCTATTTTCATATGTACACTTTAACGTGACTCACACTGTAGTTACAGAACGTAGCTCGATTCCATTTCAAACCTAAGAAGACTAATGCCCGTTTTCACCATCAATTCATAATTTTTAAGTGACCCCTATGACAACAAAATTCCTGTTATGTGTTACCATAGGGGTCACTTAAAAATTAGGGATTGATGGTGGAAACGGGCATAAGACTCATTTGAATTTCAATTTTTAAAATTAACGGGTTTAATCTTTTAACCGCGAAGTTACCTATCGAGTTTGATACGGGACCTAAAGTTTTCTGCAGCATACATCTAGGCTGTCGTGTATGATATCAGGATACAATTA